GGCGCGGCGGCGGCGGATTCCTGAATCGCGTCCAAGGCGCCCGGGCAGCCCTCCTCCTCCTCCTCTCCTTCCTCACCCCACCCAGCTCCCAGCCCAGTGCGCCCGGCAACTTGGGAACCGTTGGCGAAGTTGGCGCAGCTCGGGCTACGCGCCGGCCGGGCCTCTAGGTGGAAGGAGGGGAGGAGAGGGAGGAGCTGAGGGGGGAGGGAGGGGGGAAGGAGGGGGCCCGCCCCCGCCCCCGGGGAGCCGCGCGCTCCAGGACCCCTCTGTGGGCCTTTGTTCCGGGCGCTGCACCTCCGCCCGCCTTCCCGGGGGGCTCGCTGGGGGGCCGCTGGGATCCCCCACCCCCTCCCAGAGAGGCTGCGCGGAGCTCCCGGCCCCGGGGTGGTTAGGGGGGGGGGAGAGGCGGCGTGGAGATCCTCGCGGCCTCGCCCTGCCAGAGCCTCCCAAGCCATTACCGGCCTGCCATCCTATCTCTTCCCCGAGAGATCCCTCTGGCTGCGCTGGTTCTCGGCCCCGGGGCGGGGTGGGGGTCCAAATGATGGTCCCCTGGGCTTTCAAAGACCACAGCACACCCTCTCTGGGCGGTCACAGGTCACCCACCCACCTTACCGCCTTCTCGGGCCTCCAGTCAAGAGTTCCCTTAGTGGGACACCTGGGAAGCCAGAAGGAAGTGGGGTCCCCGCGCACCAGCCAGGGCGGCTTCGCGTTATCTCCCCACCCTTCTGGGCAGCTGGCGTCTCCGGCGGAGGGTGGGGTGAGTGCTGCTGGCCGAGGAGTGGGGACCGGTTGCCTCCCACACGTGGGGCAGCGCCCAGCTAGGCAGCGCCGGCTCGTGGGTGCAAGGCCAACTTCACCAGGAGCGTGCTGAAGTGCTGGGAATTGAAAGAGACTCCCTGTTCGCTGCCCGAATCCTGTGGTGTCCTGGGCTCCGGGGCTTTGATTTGGGCTTGAGGCTTTTCTTCTCAGTCTTTTCAGCACTTAGCGCCATAAGCTAATTGAGGCCTCTTGAAGACAGTGGTCCTGGCATTTAACGGGATAGTATAGGGTTCAGAACAACAAGTCATTCCCCGAAAAGGAGAAATAGGAAAGCCCCAAAAGGCAAAAACCTCAACATCTGCACTTGCCTCCATTGTCATTTTCAACATTTGTAGAAAAGAAACCCAAACAGAACAGAGCATGGTCCTGGCCTTCCCCAGGGGTGAGTCCTCACAGGTGGGGGCAGTCAGAGGTCCCTGTTCATTATCTGGGTCGGGACCAGCCCAAGCTGCCCCTGGGACTGTGGACTGGAGGGGATGTGAGCAAAGTGCTCCAGATTGTGAAGTGAGACCTCAGTGTCTCTTTTGGCAGAAAAACCCAACTGGGTGCTTCAGTTCTATTATTAACAGTTCTGTGGCCTGCTCCAGGGGACTAGAAATTTGGTGGGCACTGAGATCTAAAGTCACCTCCTGGGTAAGCATCCTGAGGCCCTCTCCACATCTCCTGCTACCTGGGCCTCATCCACAGGTTGTAGGCCTCTGCTCTAGAATCAGTCTGTGTGCTCTCCAACCAGTTTCCAAATCAGGAGGGTTTCTCCAGACCCCATCATCTCTTCTCTGAAGGGAGGGCCTCTTTGGAGCCTCACAAATCTGTCAAGAAGCTCAACATTTAACTGCACCTGCTGGCCTTATAAGGGAGGTCTTCCGGTCAACCACATGGAATCTGGGATTTTATTGCCAGAACTTTATAAGCACCTCAGGGGATGCAAAGTCTGAAATCTAGGACTGTGTCACCCCCAGATTATAGAGCAGGGACAGTGCTACTGAGGTAGGGGTGGGAGGAGGAGCACAAGCGGCCACTGCGAAATTCCAGTGTTCACCCAATACTTCTGGAGCACGTATTGGATACGGGGGCCCAGAGAGGTAGACAAACCTTAGTCCCACCTTCTGTCCAGAGAAGACAGACCTATATCTCAATAAATTCTAGTGATACTGTGTGCTATGTGAGAGGAGGTGGGGCCGGGAGTAAGGGGGTAGATGTCTCCAGAACAAGATCACAGGCTTGCACAGCTCCGGGGGTCCCTGGAGTTGTTCAGTGCTGTAGCCTTATTCTTGGAGCTGAAGACCCCAGGCCTGGGCTTCAGAGATGGACTGGAGTTCTGCAGGCAGACCAGAAGGCAGAGATGGAACAGGGCTTTCTAGGTGAAGGCACCAGCAATTGAAAGAAACAGGTTCCTTTGGGCTGGCATGACAGCCAATCCCTGGGCCTTCGATTGAGGGTATCTGGGTTGCAAATGAGAGGGGAGGGTAAAGTTCTGACAGGACATTGGGGATTTTCATCCTAAAAGAGTTTCCAGGCTCAACTTCTTCCCACAATTGCTCTGCCAAGAGATTTGGTCTCGTTTTGTCTTGTTTTGTTTTGTACTGTTTTGTTTACCCTGTTTGAAAAATTGAAAAATTTTACCCCGTTGAAAAAAGAACTTTCCAGGCCAGAGGCAGAATGGCAGAGTGGGTAAGAATGTGGCAGCCTGAGTACCATTTTAACTTATCCAAGTTAAGATTACTAATCATGGGACACGCCAGCATCATGTGTCTCCCGATACGCTACACTGGGAAGGTTACAATGTTGAGTATGAAGTATTCCTGCCAAAAATGATGCACCACCTGAATCTAATCATGAGGACACAGCGGACAAACCCAAACTGAGGGACATTGACAAAACAGCTGGCTTGTAATATATTAAAATGTCAAAGACAAAGAAAACAACTAAACCACCCCAGATTAGAAGAGACAAGAGGGATGTGAGCACTGTGGTAGGCAGGCTTCTCAGACGGCCTCCAAGGACCCCAACTCCTGGCCTTCACTCCCCTGTGCAGTCCCCTCTCCTTGAGTGCGCCCAGACCTGGCGACTTGCTTCTAATGAATACAATAGAGCAAAGGTGAGGGAATGTCATTTCTGGATTACAAAAGGCCATAATTGAGGTTATAAGAGACTGTGACTTCTGTCTTGCTACATCCTCTCTGGTTCTTCTCAGCCTGCTTGAATTCAGAGCTGCCCTGTGGAGAGCCCCATGTGGCAAGGCGCTGAGGCCCTCGGGCCAACAGAGTGCTATGATTAAATCCTGCCAACACCTGCTGAATGAGCCTTGGAGCGGATCCCATCCCTGTGGAACCCTGAGATCACGGGAACCCTGGCCGACACCTTGACTGAGGGACCCTAAGCAAAAGAGCTAAGCCACATCCAGATTCTTGACCCAAAAAACTGTGGGATGATCAAAATGGTTGTTTTAAGCCACGAAGCTTTGGAGTGACTTGTTACGCAGCTCCATATAACTGATACAGCCACTAAGTACAATGCATAATTCTGAGCTCGATCCTGGAGCTGAAAAAAAAAAAATGCTATGAAAGCCATGCTTTAGATAATTGAGAAAGGGGGCCAAGCGATTGCTAATATTATGTCAGTGCTGTATTTCCTGCATTTGATAACTGCACTGCTCTGTAAGATGGTGTGTGGTTCATTAGAGATACGCACCTGAGTATTTAGGGTCATGATTTCTGCCGCTTCCTCTCAAATGGCTCAGGAAACTAATAAAAATAAACATTAGGGGGGGCACCTGGGTGGCTCAGTCTTGGTTTTGGCTCAGGTCCTGGTCTCAGGGTTGTGAGATAGAGCCCTGCATCAGGCTCCAGGCTCAGCAAGGAAGCTGCTTGTCCCTCTCCCTCTCCCTCTGCTCCTCCCTCTGCTCTCTCTCTCAAATAAATAAATAAAATCTTAAAAACAAACAAACAAACAAACATTAGGGGCGCCTGGCAGGCTCAGCTGATGGAGCATGCAACTCTCGATCTCAGGGCTGTAAGTTCTAGTCCCACGCTGGGTGTAGAGATTACTTAAAAATAAAATCTTTTAAGGAAAAGTAAAGATTATACACATTGTACATAAAATATATATTATAGAGAAAGAGTTTCATTTATCTATTAATTTATCTGCTGTATAACAAACCATCTCTAAGCTTAATGACTTAAAACAGCAAAAAAGTATTATTCCTCACAAATTTGTGGATTGACGGGATACATCTGGAAGACTCCTCTGTTCCATATGGCATCAGGTGAGGCTAGTCATTCTGCTGCCTTCAGCTGGCAGGGGGGCTGCGCTGGGCTGGAAAGCCCAAGAAGGCTTCCCTCCGAAGTGTGGCACCTCAGTGCTCCTCCACACAGCCTGTGTCTCTCTCCCCATGTGGCCAGCTCGGTGTCCTCACAGCATGGTAGTTTCGGAGGAGACAGACTTCTTACACAGCAGCTCCCTTCTGAGAGGAAGTATAAGCTGCCTGTCTTCGTAAGGCAGCCCAGTCACATGCTGGGCCAGGGAATTGCTGAACCATTCTTGGGATCTGGGGCAAATCTTCCTGTCTGGGTCAGGAAGAGCAAGTTAGCAGTGACTCAAGGAAGAATGCTGGGAGCAAAGGAAGAGGGGAGGAGGAAGGATCTAAAGGGGTTCCCCACCTGGAGTTAAAGGGCCCAGAGGCTCAGGAGCCACGAGTAAGCTCTCCGCTCTCCCCACCACCCTACCCCATCTCAGCCTCCTCTACTTCCTGATCATTTTCGCCAAAGAGCTCACTTCGAGATGGTAAGAGGCAGAGATGCAGGAAGAAAATGTCAGTTGTTGAACACAAAGCGCCAGGAGCTTTCCCCAGAGTATTCCATTATCCTCACAGCAACCCCGCAAAGAAACTATTACTATGCCCTTTGCAAAGAAGAGGTAGCAAAGGTTTCGGGTGGTGCGGTGACTTGAGCCAACTCACATTGCAAAGGTATCGGATCAAAGAATGTCTTTGCTTTTTCATTCAACAGTTTGTGGCCGGGGACTGCACTGGGCTTGGGAACCCGGGGATGAATGACGTCTTAGTCAGGTATTGTTGCAATGATGCTATAAAACAAACCTCCTCCAAATCTCAGTGGCTTACGACAAGTGCGGATTTTCTTCATTCATGGGTAGGTCAGCAATTGAACAGGGATTTCTGTTGTAGGCCGCGGATTGGCTGGGCGTGGGGCCAGCCTCTGTGTTGGCTTCAGGTCTGCTGTTCATGTCCCCACATTCTTGTTGGTCCGGTGACTACCCGTGACACATTCTTCTCGAGACGGAAGAGACAAGGCAAACCACCCAAGCACATTTGAAGCCTCTGCTGACATCACTGGCCAAAGCAAATCCCATGCCCAAACCTGAAGGCATTAAGGCAGAGAAGTCTGTTGTACCCACTATGAAGCCCCGGTGATAACAGAGAGGTCTGTGACAAGGGGAATGAGAATTGAGAGCAGAAATCCAGTCTGCCACAAGTGACCAAGCCCAGGTCTTGCCCTCAGGGAGTTCACAGTCTAGTGGGAGTACTCACCGAGGCACAACTACAATGCAGTGAGGTAGGTGCAAGGAGGAGGTGCAGGAGGGTGGCAGGGCAGTGTGTGTGTGTGTGTGTGTGAATGTACACGTGTACAGCGTGGAGGTGGGTCCCTGCCAGCAGGTAGACATTTAGGAAGATATTCTAGAGAAGATGCCCGAGGTAAATGCGATAGGAGAAAATAAATAGGAGCTCTCGGCTGAAATAGGGAGAAGTGGGCAGGGAAGTAGGGAGGGCGTCCTGGACAGTCATGCTGTGCGAACAAAGGCAAAGAGGCCAGAAACAGGATGGGGTGTTCAGGGACACCGAGAGGCAGTTTGCTGTCTCCAGAGCACCTGGGGAAAACAGTGGGTGTCAGGAATTGAGGAGAGGAGGACATAGGTGAGGCCCAGCCACAGAGGGCCTTCGCCAGGTGCTGGGCACCTTCCCTTTGCTGCCAAGAGCAGTGGCCACCCTTCCGCACTCCGCTCTCTGTCCTGGGGGCCTGGCCTGTGTGGACTGCGGCCAAAGAAAGCCTCTCTTCTTCTGGGATGATGGCAGAATGTAGAATGTCTCTTCCCAAATTCCCCGTTATGGACTGAAACCTGTTCTCCCCCAGATACCTATGTTGAAGTCCTAACCCCACTATATTCGGAGACAGGGCCTTTAAGATGTAGTTAAGGTTAAAGGAAGTCATAAGGGTAGGGCTCTAATCTGACATGGCTTGTGTCTATGGAGGAAGGGGAAGAGACAGCAGATCTCTCTGTCTCTCTCTCTGTCTCTCCTCACAGAGGAAAAGCCCTGTGAGGACACAACGAGGAGGCAGCTGTCTAGGAGGAAGAAAGCAACCCTGACAGCACCTTGATCTTGGGCTTCTAGCTTCCAAAACTGTGAGGAAATAAATTTCTGTCATTTGAGTCACCCAACTTGTGGTGTTTTATTATGACAGCTCTAACAGACTAATACACCGACCCCCCCCTTTTATAAAAAAAATGAAAAACTAGGTTAAAAAAAATCAGAAGACCCACAGACAACATCTATCAAAAAAACAAAACAAAGCAAAACAAAAAACTAGGTGACAAGTTAAACCCACAAGCCCAAAATACAGGTGGGCTGGGGACAAGCCAGAGGCAGTTAGGAGCCCCATGGATATCGGTGTCTGTGTGGGAGGAAGCAGAAGGAAGAAAACTGGGCTTCTCGTGGTCCCAAGAACAGGTAAACCCTCAGATCACCAAGTGGTGCTCAAAAGTACGGCAGACCTGTTCAGCAGTAGCTGAAACTGGAAAACAATCTCGCAGAATCCAGTTCACGTGGGAGTGCCAGGGGACCGCTGCACAATGAGGTATGATGGTGCTGGAGCCATCTGGGCCCTGGGACTTTGAGAGTAGAATCCAAACTGATCAGGACAGGCCCACTAAGGGACAAAGAAAGAGAAGCTCCAGGGGAGAGTGGGATTGGAGGGTGGAGGGTTGAGGAACCTTAGAAAGTACAAAGCCATGAGAGAGAGAGAGACAGGGAGGGAGGGAGGGAAAGTGTGTGTGTGTGTGTAATCATTGAGGCAGATTTTATTTTCCAAAAATAGCTGCAAAAATTATCTCCTCATCCCACATGCTTTTTTACAATGGGACCTTGACATTCGTCTCATTAAATGGTGGGATCTATGCACCTGGTTGGAACTCTGTGACTAGCTTGACCAACAGAGTACAGTGGACATAAAGACAATGTTACTTCCAAGACTGTTCAAATGTCATGCATGTCTACCTTTTTTCTTAAGATGGTCGCTCTTGGAAATCAACCGCCATGCTGTGAAGAAGCCCAACAAGGCACATGTAGGTATTCTACTAGACAGCCAGCCTCCACCACCAGACATATGAGTGAGGAGCCCTCAGATGGCCCCAGCCCCGAGTTGTCATGTCACCTCCACACCGTCATCTTCCAGCTGAGCCACCAAGCATCAGGATACAGAGACACGCCATCCTCACCATACTTTTTCTGACTCTCTGACCCCAGAATCTGGGAATACAATAAAATGGTTATTGTTTGATACAGTACATTTGGGGTGGTTTGTTATGCAGCAGTAGTAATTAGAGCAATCATGTTGTAGACTCAACAGAATTTGAAGCTCAAGAGCCATGAAGGTAGAAAACTATCCTTACTCACCCATGTTTCCTAAAAGTGCTGGGAAAATCAATCAAATTTAGATTTTATTTATTTATTTGAGAGAGAGAAGGAGAGAGAGAGCACATGAGAGGGGGGAGGGTCAGAGGGAGCAGACTCCCTGCTGAGCAGGGAGCCCGACGCGGGACTCGATCCTGGGACTCCAGGATCATGACCTGAGCTGAAGGCAGTCGCTTAACCAACTGAGCCACCCAGGCACCCAAATCAATCTAATTTAAAAAGGAGCATTGGGAAAGCACCAAGGTTGAATACTGTGTAAAATTATAAGAACAAGGAGAAGTAGCAAAATAATATTCCTGCAAATAATAAAAGCATGCCAGAAAAACACGTCCACAAAAGAGATAGAAATGGTAACTTAATATTTCAAAACCAAATTAGAGAAATTTTTTAAAAGTGATAGAAGTTATGAAATGACATAAATAATTGAAATTAGAGAAACTCAGAAGTGAAGAGGAAAAAAGAAAAAAGTGGGAAAAAGTGATGCCAAAAGTCAGAAAATAACTAAATATAAAATAAGAAACCATTTCAGAAATGAAGATGAAGGGCGCCTGGGTGGCTCAGTCGTTGGGCGTCTGCCTTCGGCTCAGGTTCCTGGAATCAAGCCCCACATCGGGCTCCCTGCTCGGCGGGAAGCCTGCTTCTCCCTCTCCCACTCCCCCTGCTTGTGTTCCTTCTCTCGCTATGTCTCTCTCTGTCAAATAAATAAATAAAATCTTAAAAAAAAAAAAAAAAAGAAATGAAGATGAAAAGAGAAAAAAAACAGAAGAGAGAAGAAACACAATAGATAATATTCTAAGAGAAAAGTGAGCTAGAAAGGAAAGCATTTTATTTTTTAAAGATTTTATTTGTAAGTAATCTCCGTCCAACATGGGGCTTGAACTCACAACCCCAAGATCAAGAGTAACATGCCCTACTGACTGAGCCAGCCAGGCGACACGAGGGGAAGTTATTTTAACATATAAAAATAAAACCAGGGGTGCCTGGGTGGCTCAGTCGTTAGGCATCTACCTTCGGCTTGGGTCATGATCCCGGGCCCCTGGGATCGAGCCCCACATCGGGCTTCCTGCTCAGTGGGAAGTTTGCTTCTCTCTCTCCCAGTCCCCTTTCTTGTGTTCCCTCACTCACTGTGTCTCTCTCTGTCAAATAAATAAATAAAATCTTTAAAAAATAAGAAAAATAAAAATTAAAATAAAACCAAGGGATGAAAGAGATAAAAGAGGGGTAAGTGATAGATCCAGCACAGAGAAAAGGAAGATTCACCATCCATGTAGTAGAAATCCACAAAGAACCTTAAAGAAAACCAAAACAATGGAATAGAACAAATACCAAAAGCTATAATTCAAAAAACTGTTCCTCACAGAAAGCATGGCCTGAAATTTCATATTGAGGAGGCGTGAGGTACATCTGGGCAAAACAACCCTGAGACTCAAGTCTAGGAAGACCGCTGGGCTTTAAAGAAAGGGAAAAGGGGCACCTCGCTGGTTCAGTCTGGGGAGCATGCGACTCTTGATCTCGGGGGTGTGGGTTCGAGCCCCACGTAGGGTGTAGAGATTACTTAAAAATAAAATCTTAAAAAAAGAAAAAGAAAGAAAGAAAAATAGAGGGAATCCAAGCAAACAGATCTCACCACTGATAAAGGAAGGAAAAACAAACTGTCATCTGACTTTCTACAGCAATGCTTTATGCCAGAAGACAATGTAATGTTTAATATAAGACAATATAGTATTTCAGGACATGTGACCCACAGATTTAACACTGAGTGAAAGTGACCATCAAGTATACGAGTCAAGCTGTTTTGAACATGGAAGAGCCCAAGGAATACTGGATAATCCACTAGAGAATAGATGCCGGAAAATCAAAAAATTGGTGAATTGTTGGCATTAGGTCTGGTGAAATATCCCAGCTGTGGGAACCAGACTAATCCTTGGACAAATCCTCCATGATAACCTTGCTGTGACCTGAAACCAACTTGAGCTCAGCCCCCCTCCCACATTCTCTCCTTTTGTTTAACCACACCTTTAAGCACACAGGGGTGGGGGGCGGTGGCTGTCTCTGTCTTTGATCTGCCCTGGAGATATGACTATGACACACGCCTATTCTTAAAAACATTCTTCTTTTGGGTAGTCTTAAGGGAGGTGGGGTTGTGGGAGATCTACTCCTCCTGCAGCCACCCCCTTAATAAACCATTTCTTGCCAAGCTGGACTTGTTGGCCTTTTTCTTTGGTCTTAAGGCTCCTTTGGTCTTTGGAGGTCATTTTGCACATACCTCCTTTTCCAGAACACCAGCTAATAATTAAAGAAGGAATCAAAGAATCAAAATAGCACCATTTTGTATCCCTAAAGAGTTAAAGGATCTGGGCATTGATCATCTATGGCTGCTAATATTGAGGAAGGATAGTTGGAAGGCAGGCAGGCAGGGACAAGCCTCCCCACCCCCACAAGAGGAAGCCACCCTGAAAAGGCTTTTACGCCGCCCAGGGAGGAGCCCTCCACCCTTTACCATGTGATAGGTGGCAGGGAAGGTTAATCAGATTAAAACAGCCCACCAAAAAGCCCATTAAAAACCCCTAGACTTAGAAACTTCTGGGACAGGCGCCTGGGTGGCTCAGTTGGTTAAGCGACTGCCTTCGGCTCAGGTCATGATCCTGGAGTCCCTGGATCGAGTCCCGCATCGGGCTCCCTGCTCGGCAGGGAGTCTGCTTCTCCCTCTGACCCTCCCCCCTCTCATGTGCTCTCTCTCATTCTCTCTCTCTCTCAAATAAATATAAATAAAATCTTAAAAAAAAAAAAAAAGAAACTTCTGGGGCAACCCTCTCAGGTCCCCTCCCTCTCTGGGAGCTTTGTACTATCGCTCAATAAACTTTGCTTTGCTGCCACCACTCTGTCTGGTCTACCTCTTCATTCTTTGAAGTGGCGTGACCAAGAACCCTGGGCACCAAGGGAGCAAAAAAATCCTGTAACAGTATCACAAAAAGAAAGATCACCAGACATTAGGTATCGCCAGATGGAAGGACAAAATATGACCTATTAAATAGTTTTGCCAAAAAGAAGCAGAAGAAGAAGGAAGGGGAAGAAGAGGAGAAGAAATAAACTTGAATCTGATCAAGCCTATAATCTAACAACAAACTTAAGGAAATACAAGGGACAAAGGAACATTGCTAAAACGATACCATCAAGATTGACAGAATCCAGAATTTGGAAATTTCTACAATGGGAGACCCAGGTTTTTCAACAACAACAACTGAATAAAACATTGCAAGAAAAAAAAAGAGTTGGAGGGGAAACTTATAAATTAAAAGAAATTGAATTAAAAACATGAAATCGAAGAGGCACATGAATCAAGCACATGTATGGACGATATGAACTCTGATAACGTATTTGATGATTTAAGGAACTATTGTTAAGTTTTAGAGATGTGATAATGGTGTTGTGGTGCTGTTTTTGTAAGAGAATCCTTATCTTATATAGAGGTACCCAGTGAAATAGTTACAGATAACCTGATATGCATGATGTGTGGGGTTTTCTTCCAGATAATCTGAAGAGGAGGAAGGAGTGGTGGGGGGACTATAGAAGCAACATGATTGGCCACGTAGTAAGCATTGTTCAAGCTGGAGGCTGGGCACATCAGGCTCATTATACTATTCTACTTTGGACCTATTTGAACTTCTCTTCAGTAAAAAGTTCCGTGAAAGGCTCCCTATTTCTGCTGATACTTGATATCAGCTAGAAGAAGAGGGAAGCAGGACAGGAGAGACTCTCCCAGGAAGACAATGCAGGTGAAGAGCTGAAGGGAAGAGAGAGCTGCTTGGAACAGAGCTGGGGTGGTGGGAGTGGCCCCGGGGGGGGGGAGCCCGGAGAGTAGGTCTTGGGTCTCCTTACACTAAGGAGCTTAACCAGTTTTGAGGAGCAATGGGGAGAAATGGCAGGATTTCAAGCAGAAGAGGGGCACAACCAGATTTTTTCTTTAGGGAGGTCACTGTAGATGCAAAGAGGAGGGCTGAGCCGGGGAAGGCTGGATTAGCACCCAGTTTGGGTCCAGGCAAAGAGCTGATGGTGGCTTGGACAAGAGAGTGGCTGTGGGGATGGAGAGAGGTGGGTCTTGTCAAGATTACTTTAGGAGGTGGAGTGAGTGGGGCCTCGTGATTGACCAGACATGGGGAAGGGAGCAAGGGGGGGACCCCAGCAATGGTGAGACAGAAGGCTCACTAGTAGCAGACCCTTATCTAAGCCCTTCACATTAATGAGCTAATTTCACCTTCTCACAAACTCTTAGAGGAAGATGATGGTTGTCTCACCTGGATTCTTATCAAGCAAAGCCTAAGAAGCCAAAGGCTGATGCCTCCTGCTTTGTTGGGAGTAGCCACAGGGAGCAGGAGGGAGGGACAAAGAGTGGAGCAGGCAAGGAGGCAGAGTTGATAATAAAGGTGTGTGATCCAACTTACTACCTCTAGAGCAGATGAATGAATGTCCTATCCCCTGGGAATATCCTTCAAGAAGGCACATAAAATGCACCTCAGGACAGTTGGACCAGGGTAAAAAGGAGGCAGAATTTATCCACTAGCTCCTGGCTCCCATTGGCAATGTCTACTCCAACGGGCTTCCCCCATTAAGCAAACACTTCTTGGTTATGCAGGAGTAGACACCAAGCAGAGCCCTGTGGCATCCCATGCTTTGTTGGCCTCAGAGAAGCCCCAGGACAGGAGGCCAGAGCATGCAACTTGGACATGAGACCAGGGGCTGTCAGGTTGCCCCCAAGCGAGGCTGTTCATAGTCCATGCAGAGCTTGTTGCCATTGCACTGGTTAGAATGAATAA